CGCGCTGCGCACCCTCGCCCTGCGCGCCGCGCCTCCCCGCGCTGACCGCCGCGCGTACCTGTGCACGCTGAAAGCGAGCTCCGCGGGGACGCCGCGTGGCGGAGCCTCGCCCCGGTGCGTGTTTTCCGAGCACCGCAATGGCGACGCCAGGAAGCGCGCCTTGGTTCGTCGTGTCTCCTCTCCTCCTAAAGACTGCGGGAGCTGGGCGCGGGCTGTGCTGCCGTGACTGTCGCGGCGTCCTCGCAGGCCTTTTCCCCGGCGCCCAGGCACGGGCGAAGGCCCTGCGCAGGCCTTGGCTTCCAGCCCCGGCGCGCCGCGGCGGGGGTCCGGGTGCGTTTGTGTAGCTGCGCTCGTTCCAGAGTGGCACTGCGTTTAGAGCGCTCGTTTAGAGGGGAGCAGGTAAGTCTGTTCCAGGAGGACGTGTATTCAGCACCGCCAGGGTGAACCGAATACAGCCCGGCTTTTAGAAAGCCTGAGCTCGGCGGCAGTGGTAGAGCAGACAACTCTGGGTCCAGACTCAACCCCGTAAGTGGGCTTTAAGGCCCTCGAGATGGGGCCCGGAGATGTCCTGCGGGTCCCTTGCTGTGTGACCTTGGGCAAACTACTTTTATCTTAAAATGGAGGGAATAATGGTGCCGGCTTGTGAGGGCCTTGCGAAGATTCATTGAGCTAACTCATCAAGTTCTTAGAACACGGCCTGGCACGCAGTGAGTACTAATGAACTCGCTGCTGTAATTTTTACCACTGTTACTATCATTATTCCTCCAGCGCTCTCCGGGGTGCTTGATAGCCCTGAATCACTCCTTTGCTCTCATGCTCCAGCCAGATGGCCTAGGCCTGTATCTCCGCTCGCTCGCAGGCGTCTTTTCAGTACTCTCTTAGAGACCGACCACGGTTCGCTTTGAATGGGTCTTTGTGTACATGACCCGCTGGCTGCCAAAGTGTCTGCAAGGACATGGCCTGCACTGTGACGCTCGCTGAAGCTTTTCCTGCAGGAAAAGGACGAGCAGGACAAAGCCTTGCACTGGGCGGACAGCACGGAGGCCACTCCAAGCGGAGAAGGTGGCCCCCAGCTCTGAGGAAGAGCTGCAGTCTCCACCCAGGTCCAAAGTGGGCAGTGTCCATGCCTCACAGGGGTCCATCCCAGGGAAAGGCCTGTGTGAGTGGAATCGTTCAGCAGATCAGCGTCCATACTTGCGTTGTACACCCCCACACACACACACACACACATGAGCCCCCTCCTAAGAGGCTGATTGTCTACCTCCCGGTTTCAAGGGTGACCATGTGACCAGGGTCGGCCCAAGCAGACCAGCACAGCCTCTGGCTTCTGAGTCTGGGTTGGAATGAGGTACCTGCATAGGCCCAATCCGAACTAAAAATGCTCTTTAAAAGCCAGGGGACCCCATCTAAAGAATGAAGACCTTCCTGAGAGGGATGCCAGACACAGCAGGGAGGATAGCATAAAACTAAAAGAAAATGAGCTTGTAATATGACAGGTGCCTTGGACTTCGCAGGGTCTTTTGGTTTTTTTGGTTGGTTGGTGTTATCAGGGTTCACTAAGGAACAGATTTAATACAGATATGTGTATGATTATATAAAGGGTTTACAAGGCAGGGTCACAGTGGCCGCCTGCAGGGTCAGGGCGGAAGGAAGCAAAATGGCGACTTCACCCTAGGAGCTGGGCGACCAGTCGAAAGTCGGGGATCCCCGGGCGGTCATGGCAGAGTCGGTGCGAGTCAGGAGACCAAAGGGTCTGCGTCAGAAGGCTGAAGAATCTGTTGGAAGCTGAAGGAACTGGAGACCAACGTCCGCAGGCCATGGCCAAGGCTGGAGCTCCTCCAAAGAAACAGGCTGGAGGGACCGCCTTCTTTCCCATCTTAGGCCTCCCTTTCAACTGATGGCCATTATATACCTACAGTATGAGGCTGTGGAGATACAGTGGTCCTGAAAACTCTTCAATGTCCTCAAGAATCTAGTTTGAGTGAAGAGATAAGTTAGTAAACAGTGTGTTAAGTGTTGAAAGGGAAAACTTCAAAAAGCTATGAAAGTTCTGTATAACATCAGTCTTGGTAGGGGGAGCCATGTGCTTCATTCGGTCAACATAAATATTAAGCTCATCCAAAACACCCTGAAAGAAAGGCCCAAAGTAATGTTTGATCAAGTATCTGCGTACCCTGTGGCCCAGGCAACTGACACATGAAATTAACCATCACATAAACCAACTCAAATGCAACATGTTAAATTTGTAGGTTCAAAAAAAAAGAAAGCCAACTGTAAAATAAGAGACATTTGAGACAGTTGGCGAATTCCAGTCACTGGCTGGGTATTAAGAGATGACATTTTCTGGGTATCTTCTGTTTGCTCCTCCAGATCTACTGTCCATCTCATTCTCTCCTCCAGAAGCCTCGCTAAGGCCGAGGAGAGTGACATTGGTGTTATGCCCCTGACTGCCTGTCTAGCGCAGCCATCTGATGTGTTACTGTCTCTTGACTGAAGACCACTGATTCTCTCAGAGTAGCCAACTCCATGGACTTTCTTCTCCCAGGTTTTGGAAATCACACACTCACCTGGGCCCAGAGATAGCACCCACCTAACAGCCACCAGCCCTAGGTAGTTGTACTCTATCTTACGGTTGCCTGTGCCCACAGCCTTTCAAATAAACCTCCTAAAATTGTCCACTTTGAATGTACCATCTGTTTCCTATTGATATTGTGGTTCATATGTGATAAGCATATTGTGGTGGTGCAGAGAGATGAGAAAAAGCAAGTCATTTATTCTTGGACATACACTTTCGAGTGAAATGGTCAAAGATCTGGCATTTGCTTTATAACTCAACTAACATGGGCTGAAGTTGAAAAGGGGAATATAGATGTTCACAAAGTCATTCTAATTTGTTTAAAAAAAAAAAAAAAAAAGGACCCCAAATGAGTATGATACCAGAAGGGAGAAGGCAATATACTGGTTAGAGAAGAAAGAGGGTTGAAAGCTCACAGATTGAAGACGATCCAAGCAGCCAGGGGTTAAGGAAACAACAAGTAGAGTAGCCAAGGGTCAGCTTGGAACCGCCACTGGTGCCTATTGTGCTGTTCTTTCATTGCACTGGGCTGAGACCGAGATGTGCTGGGCATTGTAGGTCAGAGCTGAGCTCAGGGTTCCTCTGGAGCAGCAGGTTAGATGTGAAATAAGCAGGTCTGACACGAAAGAAAGAAGCCCCAAACTTGGCACAAGTTGCAGAGTTATGATAAGGTCTTTCAGGTGAGATGCTATGTCAGTTTCAAAGAAGGACTTAAAGGAGAGAGGAAATGTGAACACGCAAGAGAGACACTAATGATAACTGTAAATAAAAAAAAAGAAGTAGCTCTCATCCACGGACTCAGGAGGAAAGATGATGGAAAACCACCCGGCAGAGAGGGGGAAATAAGGGATGTCGAGGGAGCTACATTCATACAGCATCGTCTCACTAAATATAAGCATGTAAAGCTAGGGTGTTGGGTTTCTATCATTACAAGACCGTAGCCGACAGTCCTTTTTGTCACACAGTGTAATCATCAAGGGACCAGCTGTCCTGTCATAAATCTTGCCCGTCAGGTAGGGGAGGACCTTTACAGAACATGTGTACAGAGACAGGACTCTCGGAGGCCAGGACAGAATCCTGCCTTTCACAGCCAGGGCTGGATGAGCATCTTGGATAGAAGGAGTCAGTGCTAGAACGGGCTCAGTCTATGAACTAAGAGATAAGACTTGGAAGAGGGAACCAGTAGGCATGTGGAAAACGCATCAGAAGACAGGGAAAGTCAAATGGGGATGGTGCTGAAAACCGTAATCACTCTTGCTAATGTTAAAGCAGGGGTTGGAGATCAGAAAAAGTGAAGTTGAAGTTCTGCTCAGCCACAGTCTTGCTGTTTCTGAGCCAACCACAAGCTTTCTGGACTTCTCTCAGCTATGAAATAGAAGGGATGATACTAGATGATTCCTAAGGCAAATAAAATTTCTCTGTAATCTACAGTCTATGGCAGTGAGACAAACATAAAAAGGAATTGTGGAGGCTGGGGATTTAGCTCAGCGGCAAAGC